GCTATGAATTATACATATGATATTGTATACTTCTTTGATACAGAAATTAATTGAAATAAATATAAAACGTGCATGCAGGATATGTGAAGTAGTTCAGCTCATAAATTACGACTTGTAAGGAAAGTAATATTTTAATTAGAAAACAGAACTCACCCTCCATAACATAAACGATGGAGCCAACATCCCCCTCGCGTATGATAGTAGATCCAGCGGAGAACGTGACAGGGTACATACAGTCGACAATCTCGCGGATCTGAGTCAGCTCCAGATTCTTCATGAAGTCATTATCCAAGATAGCAGCCTTGATTAACTCACGAGACCTTCAAAATAATAATTTCGTTTCCCATTATATTAAGAATTGTATCCTTGAGTAATAATGTAGCTGAAGAATTGTAGAAAATCATTCGTACAGAAGATATGAAACAGTTTTAAATGTAATGAACTAGCAGGACTGTTTACGTATAGTTGAGAAATCTGATTAAATAATTTGGGAAAGGCAATAAGTAATTTCCATAATTAATTCGATTTAAATAAATCTTTTAAGAAAATCTTGAAACAATTTGAAAAATGAAGAATACTTTAATAATTGTATAAAAATAATTAGAGAAATGATTTTGGTAAATGGTAGGAAAATTAATTTAGGAAATGCATAAGACGTCGTATTAAATATTTGGCACAGTTTAGAGAATATTTAATACGTCTTCATAAAAGATAAGACAGTTTTATATATAATAAGAAAAGATAGAATGATATTGATGATACTATTCTCTCATCTACCTTTGCGTTTTTTGAAATTTAACTATCACCCCACTGTCTTTACCAATGGGCTCCGCGGATATCGCCTGTCTCTTAGCCCTGTGGACTTGTTCAGGCGCCAATTTCAGATCGACTATCTGCCTAAACTTATCGATCTCGTTCTCCAAGTATCGAATAGTGACATCACGTTCGTCCAACGCTTTCTCCAGAAATTCTATCACCTCGTCACGACGCCTAAGTGCCTCGGTCCTCTCATAGAGAAGTCGTTTCAAGTCCCTTATCGAGTCCATTATTAAACAGAATCGACGACTGTCCACTTTGATCATAAATGACCGATTTTATTTATCAACTTTGATAAAAAGCAAAATACAATCTTTTCTTATTTATGTCAATAAAAACTTTACGTAATTCAATTCACGTATTTTTAATATTCAATAACGTTTAAAAAATACTAATTAATAAAATAATGCAGACATTTAAAATAAATCAGAGTCCATTATTAGAAATCAATTATTCACTTCGATTCTAGGTATTTTAACTGTTCGTTATTACGAAATCATTATCGCTGGTAATAACGTTTAAAAATAATCACCGAACCATTAATATTAATGCAAAATTATAAAAGCACCGAGAATTTTCAATGGCCACTTGCCAGTGCGTTTTATCAAAACGTTTGCCACGGTTCGCACTGTCACTGGCGAACGATGGAGGATTTGGGACGAGTACCAGCACCTGAAAGGTTCACCGTGAAACTGAACGCGCATGGATTAGGCCTAGGCCAACCGAGCGAAGACGCGTGTCGTAACTGACAACGAGGAGGAGGACTACATAGGAATAAGCGGCGTCTATTTCCGAAGTACGCGTAGAGATCGAGGCTTCCTCGAACTCGAAACCAAGAACAAGGGTAAATGGAACGATCTTCCTGTCCCCCGCCCACGTCCCGTCCCGCGGCGTCAATAAAAAATCCATTTAAAATCGAGTGAAATTGACATTGTTAACAGCCGTTCTTACGTTTGTGCAGAAGGAATGAAATGATATGAAAAAGTATTCATAGGTCTTTCAGGTCGAAATTCGCATAGAATTGTAA